AATTCAACATTAAAATAAAATTCCCCAAGACTGATAAAGCTAAAAAAAAAAAATACTGAAAACCTTTACATTTCTTTGTTTGGGCTGGAATTACATTACTTTTTAAGGCCTTCTACCTGCTATACGGAGGTTCTACCATTTGTCAAATAGATGTATTATTACATTTTACAATTTAATTCACTTAACACAAGTATTTTTAAAAAATAGGGCTCATAAGGAAAATAGTAAAATAGAATTTGGCTGATAATTGGAATCACATATTTATATGATTTTGAAACAATGAAACAAAATTAAGTATCCTTTTTTATTCTTCTTTGCTTGCTTTCAAAACAGAAAGGTCACCATTATATAGGAGGAAAGTACAAAAAAGGAAAATTTTAAAATGTACGCTCTAAGATCCAGATGGGTTTTGAGAGATCTAGGCTAATTCTTCAGTTTATATTAGAAAAATATGAGTCCTAGAAACATTAGTTCAGGTGATGGATATAATTTTGTTTCCAACACACAGAACACAAATTATAAACTGTCTGCTGAGGCATAAAAATAACAAAAGAAAAAAATGTTAAAATATGCTATTACTTGAAACTTCCTTCTTGATATTTGCCTGGTAACAGTAACTAGCCATAAGCAACCCTGAGCCATAACTGCCCAAAGAGTGAGAGTTAGGTGTGTAGAAGGTGATGGGGTATGAGAGGTGAGAGAGAGAATGGAATGAGAGGCATCTTGGCAAGAGAACTCCAGATTGCTTTAAAGCTCATACTGTTGCTAGGAGACATTTGCACATAACCGTTTCATAGGGCTTTAGAGTCACCTAGAGGTATATTTCAGTCCAGGCTCTGATATTTAGAAGGTACAAATGATTTATGGTTAAGTTTCCTAACCATCATACAGGTATTACAAGATAAGTTTTGTGAGAAATAGTAAGATTACTTTTAATTTGCTAGAGGGTGCATGTGCTTGCTGGGAGAGGGGTAGAGATAGTGAGACAGCACCCCCAATGAAGGATGGTCATGTCACAATCCTTTCTCCTCCATTTCTCCCTCCTTTTGAAATCTGGGGCACACACATGTGCCCAGTGTTTTCCTCAATCCTCTGAGTTCTGGACTATAGTCATGCAGTTGGCCATGTGGGATCAAACCACCTTAACCACCCATGCCACAGGCTGCCCAGAGACTCCTTTAAATATGTTTGAAGAGCACAGGAATTCAGTAAGTGGTAGTTTTGCTACTAGTTAATTGTCCTAATGGGTTTCAGCATATTTTGCTTTGGTGCCTTATTAAAAACCCCCTTTCCCATCATCTCCACAGGTGGATATCCTATCAGCCCTTGGAGAGCCCAGTTTGAATGTCATCCTTTCTTTAGTCAGCTCCTGTACCATCTATCATTCTTTTTTGCATGTACATGTGGCTATTAGTTTCAAAATTTTCTCTAAGTTGGATTTCTTGAGAAATGGTGAAAAGAACCTGGCAGTCTTGAATGTGAGTTATACCAGCCACTCAGTCATGGGACTAGAACCACCATGAGTATAATAGGATAAGGGATAAGTGAATAAGAACACATGCAATTGTGAATAAAGCTAGGAAAGTTATTTTTCAGAAGGGAGAACTGACCGAGCTCAGAAAAATCACTCCCAGACCATTTGAGACCCTTGTATGGATGGCAAACCAGCTGTGGGAGCCCGTGAGTGGGAGCTGATAGGAAATTTAATGGAAAGCTATTGTCTTTGCATGACCATTGCCTCTTTGGTTCTTGTTAAGGCTCTTGTGTAAATGTGAAGCTACTGTTGGTCAACTGGGCTGGAAATTTGGGAGAGGATTGGGTGTGAAGTGGGAGAAGGCAGGATATGCACACAAAAACCTCTCCCCCCCCCCCACCCCCGGACTCTGCATGTCATTACATCTGTGGTTTGAATACGTCCTCCCAACCTCAGGTGTGGAGACTGGTGCTGGTTATTAAGAATTAATAAGGAATTAATTAATGAGGAATTATTTAACCTATGGTATTAAAAGATGGAGCCCTGGAAGGCAAATGAGGTCTTCAGGGTAGGGCCCCATGATTGAATCCTGGTGTTTCATAAGAAGAGGGGAAGACTGGAGTAGATGAACAGTCAATGGGCATAGACGAGCATGTTCTTATCTCTTGCCTTATGACTGGTGCCATCTTGGGACCGCAGAGTCCCCACCAGCAAGAACATCCTCACCAGACATGCCTTGGACCTCTAAAAATTTGAGCTTAATAAACCTGTATTCATAAATTACTCAGACTCAGGTATTTCTGTTATTAACAACATAGTGGACTAAAGCATCATCAAACTACAAAGATTTTCAGAAAAAACAATTAGTGCCTTTGCATTGTTTCCCAAATCTCATACAAATTTCCCTCTTTGGCCAATTCTATTTACACGCATACAGTTAGGGAGATCCCGAGAACTATTGTTCCAACTAATCAAACTGACATAGTACAAACTTTGACTTAGTGGTTCTGTTGGTTGTATTGGACAGTTTATCAACATTTCTGTCCTTACTGGTTGTATATATGAAAGAAGAGAAAACAGTTATAACTATGTCTGTAGGATTGTTAAGGGTTAAACAAGATGATAATGCAATAAATCAATCATAAAATAACTTAGCAGGTTGCTGACCCATCCATTCATTTTGTAAATATGTTTATTGTGCATCTGCTGTGAGCCAGGGACTATATTATGCCTGGGATACACAGCAGGGAACTGCATAGACAATGTCCCTGCTATCATGAAGTGGAATCAGACATGAAATAGGTATTCACGTGGTAATGTTAAGTAGGCAGTTGGATTTTAGGGGATAAGTCCAGGTTAAAGGCATATATTTGGAAATCATTAGTATTTAGGTAGCATTGAAAGGTATGAGCCTGAATTAGCTCACTTAAGTAATGCACATGAATTGAGAGAAGCAGCAGCTTAAAGACTACGGTCAGAGGTATCCCGGAATCAGGGGGCTAAAAAAGATAGAGGAACAAGCAATGAGATTAAGAAAAAGCAGCCAGTAATGTAGAAAGAGAAACGAAATAGAGTAGTGTCTAGATAATCAAATGGAGAAAGCTTCTGAGAAAGGTGAGGGGGGGATCAATCTTAACTTCTGTTGAAAAGTCACTTCTTATGGTGATTGAGGCTGCACCACAGTTTAAGTGACACAGAGGGAACTGCTAGAATGGAATGGGTTCAAGAATGACTGGGAAGAGAAGTTCTAGTGTGAAGTGGGAAAATAGGGTGGTAATGTGAACTGTGTCAAGGGAGGTTTTATCTATGCAGTCACGTGCTGGGTAGTGACATTTGGTCAAAGGTGGATGGCGGATGTGACGGAGGGGCAGTGGGCTAGCCCATTTAGCCTAGTGCAATAGGCTATCCCATCGAGGTCTGTGTAAGTAACACTATGATGTTAGTACAATGACCCATCACCTAACGAAGCATTTCTCAGAGTTTATCTCCCCATTAAGTGACGCACGACTGTGTGTGTGTTTAAATTGGTTCTAGTCTATCTGCTAGTTTGCCGATGGGAATGCTCCATCAGTTCTGGGCTCCCTATGAGGCTAGGGGAGAACCTCTACCTAGAGATGTAAAGGAGAAAGCCTGCTTCCTTCAGGTAGTCCCTCTGAGAGGAGAAATGGCCGAACGGAGTGGATGTGCCCAGTTATTCTTTCTAAAGGTATTAACCCAAGTCATGTCAACTTCTCAGCAGCAGAGTGAGCAAAGGGTCAAGGGAGGGTTACAGGGAGAGAAGTAGGTTTCAGCTAGAATAAGAATGTGCAGGAAATAGAGGGAGTTTTACTGAGGAAGATAATAAATTCCAGAGGGCACAGTGGAAAGATTTGGAAAAAGAGGGAAGAGCAAGAGTGGGTCAGACAAGGGCCTACTAAAGTAGCTTGGGACCTGATCTTTGTCCTTTAGTATTTAGAACACGGGAAGGTTAAATATTTGTCCCTTGAGTGAAACTTGATGGTTTGGGTGGGGCTGGGGAAATTCACTGTCTCACAGGGCCCTTATTTGAACAGCAGTCCAGACCAGGCTGGGGTCAGGCCTGCTGAGATTAAGGGGTTGAGGAGGGGCTTGCCTCCCCCTCCCCACACCTGGCCCAGCAAAGGGAGGAAATCTACCTCAAATGTTTACAGCTTCCCAAACCTGCCCCTGACAGCTGGAGACACGCGTTTCTGTACTGTCACAGAGACAAAGGTGATTTTTCTCCACGTTCTAGTCATTAAGGAAAAATTAGTGGTAGCAAACTGAAGAATAGATGGGCGGTAGTGGGGGAGGGGATCAGCACTCCAGACCCTCTTCGAAATTGCAAGAATAAAGTTCCCCTGTGCATCTTCTGTTTAAAGGAGAAGAGTCGGCCATGGGGGGAGGGTGTTCCTTCAGTTTCGCAGGTGGCAAGAATTTCACCTCGGGTTGGCAGCCTCCAAATCGTTTCCTATTTCTCCAACTTCAGAGGAAGCTGTGAAAGCCGCAGGCAGTCGAGGATGAATGATTCATTCGGTCCTGGCCATTCCTTTCACTCCTAGGATGTCTCAATAGCTTTCCACTTTGTTATTTAACCGTAACAGTATCCATCCTCTTCCCTCAGACTGTCAGCGGAGTCGCCTGCACGTGATACAACCTGCGGGCTGCCTGGGGCCCCATCCCTCCTACCATCCTCCCACCCGCCCACCCACCCATAGCCGAAGCCCTTCCTCCCTTTCCGGCTTACACTCGGCGTTAAGCTCGGATCTCCAGGCCTTCGCGGGCGCGCACACCCGGCGGGCGGGGTATGCAGAGCGTGGGCTGGCAGCGCCGGGGGC